GCACCTGTATATTTGAATCTATAATCCAGCACTTCTTGTCTTAGATTTCATAATTCAAGTTCCTCCTCCTCCATCTGCTGGGGCAGCTCTGATCGCAGCTCTCAACCTGTTGGAGAACTTTCATGTCGGGGAGAATAATGCAACAGAAAATCAGACATACCACCGGATCGATACGGTTAGGGTTTTAAATCCTACCTCCCTAAAATTGTGACTGTTGGAAGTTTCAAAAAGGTTAACTTTTATTGTCATTTTATGTATGTGAAAGTTTTTGTTTTGTCCGTTCAGGCTCTGACAGCAGCTTTAACTATGGCTCGTAGACTGGGTGACCCTGAAAACAACTCCTCTGTGTCTGAGCTGCTTTCTGTCATGATGAGGTAAAAATGGCTGATTTAACTGGGATACAACTAAAGCTCAAAATGACCTGTTTGGCTGTGTGGATGAAATTCATCAAACACTTCCAAAATATTCCACAAACTATAAGAGTTTGAGATGAGTGAGAGAACTCCGCCCTTGAGCTCAGAAACATCAAAGCTTAAAACGGGTCACAGAAAGTCAGACTTTGATGCCTTTGATAGTTTTTATAGTTGCATTTTATGAGTTTTTTTTTCACCCCACAGTTCTGCAAACTAATGTTTCAGACACGAAGTTTTGAGCTGATTAAACTTTCCAAATTATTTGCAAACTCGTTTTTATACTTTTTTATCCAGTTTCTATAAAATGTAGGCAATTAAACTTGTTTTTAATCTTCCCACAGTGCCAACCTTTCATCGACCTCTTGTATTTGAACTTAAAACCTTTTCTCTTCAGAAACAGAAGTGAAACTTCTCTCATCTTCTGCATAAATAAAAATAGTCCCATCTGCCACTGGAGGTTTGCACTTATCTGTTTCTGTCTGACATGAGTCACTGGCAGCAGCTTTAACATTTGATCTTGGTTGACATTGTTTTGTTTTTTTTTAATGCCGCTTATACAGTTTTTACATTAAAACATTTTTTTCCATCTTGGGTCGTTACAAACATAAGCTATAAATTACTTATATGAAGAAAGTTGTCTGTTGGAATTTCATATGGTATTTCTCCTGAAATGTTCCAGTTTTTGTGCATCTTTTTATCRAAATGACGACATGTTTACTGCAGCTTAAATTGGGCGAGAAGCAGGTTACTGCTGTCAGGGTGCCAGCTGATTGCAGAGATAAGACTGYGAGACAGATTAAGATGCCTGCTGGTCCCTACAGTTGTGGACAATTTAGAATGACCAGTTTATGAACCAGGAAACCAGACGTAAGCAGGCCTGCCAAAAAAAAAGTGCAAACAGATGGGAGCTTTCTTTCAATAAGGCAACAATGCTAACTCACAAGTTTTTTAATTAAACAATTCCTTTTTTTAATGTGTGTGTGTATGGGTTTTTCCTTCAACGTGGGGTATTTTTTACAAAAAAGCAGCCAGGTGGGGACTGAAGTGAATCGTGGGGACCTGGGTCCAAATGCATGTTACAGGTGTGGGGTTAGGTTTAGGACCAAGGTTTAGGTTAGTTTTAGGGTCAGGTAAGTTTCTGTGAGGTTAATTTTAGAGTATATGGTCAGGGTTAGGTCTAAAAAACATGAATGGAAGTCAATGGAAGGTCCCCACGAGAAACAAACGTGTGTGTGTGTGTGTGTGTGTGTGTGTGTGTGTGTGTGTGTGTGTGTGTGTGTG